GAATCTGTCTCCTGTAAAACAACTAAGCTTGACTCAAAGTATATATATGTATATATACTTAGCTGAGGACATCTTCTACTGTAACATACATTTCCCGTTCCAACTGAGAATTCCTTTGACAACCTGGCATGAAACCAGTGAACAGTGGTATCTTTTAGGTTTATCAGTCGTTTGAGTGTGAGTTAATAATCACGTACTATATCTATAGTGTAACCTGATCTAACCATTAAAAATGCATATATCTGAAAAATACACTGCAACAATGTGATATTGGTAGACCACAGGTCCTAGAAGCAGATGCATCCATTGAAAATAAGCAAGTTCTGAGGTACTTCTGAAACTCACAGCTGAGGATATATTCACTATCTACAATATTTGGATGGATAGCATATAGTTGATACAGTAATAGCAGGGTTACTGGTTTTGCGAAATATTTTGGCTTAAAATTTGATTAGCTGAGGGGATAGTGGCGGTTGACACACCTGAATAAAACATAGCTGTATGAGGATAAAAACATAGAAAACAGCACCATTTGAGGTCCAATAGATCAGTTTTTGAACTGTTTGCTGGTAGCACCGTCAACCAGTAAAAATCTCAGAATGCAATACAGAGACAGAACACAACCACTGATCAACTGCACGACATAGCAAAGAGCGAAGGTATATATATTCTGAGACGACCCCTCACGCAGACACCCCTTTACAGCAGCATCTTTAAGCTCGTAATAAAACTGATTTCTCTTAAGAATGATATTTCTGTACTAAGGTGTTTTACAACTTTTATATGCTATACATGTTGAGAGTAACCAGATATACCTTTTCCTATAGATTTTTTTAATATACACACATAGTTTACAGTCACTGACAAACAAACACCAGAGTAACAATGAGGTAGGACGGTGAAGTTAGATGAAGTAGAACCGGTTTGTGGATTGTATACAAAGTTACTGATAACCTTAAGAAAAATATAGACCTAGCAATGTGTTCCTCTCATTTGTCTCATTTAGAAGTAAGTGGGACATTGTATCTGAGGCTCAAACACTAATGGCTCTTGTGAACCCTTGGTTGCAAAAACTGTGAGATGCCATTTATCTTGTTCCACACAGTGAAGCTAGAAACTGATCTCTTTTCCCAATGAAACTGTCAAAAAGCAACATAAGCTCTCTTACTTCTAGAGCTTTGAAAGTTGTTCACAACATACCCCAAAACACCAAGCTAGGAGGAGGATCTGCTATTGTCTTGATAAGTATTTTAAAATCTACTCCATATAAATGTCAGGAGAGTTACGACCTAAAGGCGGCACAGGAAGAGGATCACAGATCCTGCGAAGTTACACTTTCTTCCTATCTCTACTTGAGTGACAGTGAGAGTACTGGAAGGTCTGGTGCTGTTACAGAGACACACTAGCCGACAGTATCCATTGATGGATCTGCCAGGTTATGTGTTGGTGTATGTTACTAATATGCTGCTAAATCCCAAACTGCTCCTCTACAAGTGACTTGGTACATTTGATAGAGATTGGCCTTGTCATCACAGATGAAGCCAAATCTGGGTTAAAAACAGTATTTCCATGCAGCTTTCATCCACTGAAGATGGTTTTAGTTAAAGGATTAGTCGTAATCACGCTCCAGGAAACCAGCCTTTGAAACCACACCCCCTTTTGGCATCAAACAACAAAGAAACAAACACAAACACGATACACAACAATGTGTCAGACTTTTCAGCAAGGTTGCTTTGCACAGCAGAAATCTTTTTTCTTTTAAATGGCATGTATTTTAAATACATGCTCGCACACACACATCTCACATGTTCCTTTGTACAGGGGAAAACTAAAGGACACTAAAAGAGGAGACTTTTTTAGGAACTCAAAAAAATATATCAATAACGTGTCACTATTTTGGTGGCTTAAGATTCACTAAGCTCTTAGCTTGGCATGAGCCATTTTTTGTGCAAACCCTGCTGATTGCTCAGTCAGCATCACCCCCCTTCTTTACCTTGATCTCAGCTTTCAATGGTTTGGCTTACAATTACCACTCATTTGTAAAAATACACAATCATCTCCATATAATAAGTCTTATCTACACATAACCAGCATCTTGACACAACAAGTTAAAGCACATATTCCAGTCATCTTGCACATTTCATAGGTAAATATCTTAAGATCGGTGACAATTGTTTTGGTTGAAAACTGATCATGTTGATAAAAGAGTTGTTGGCTTTTGCTTGTCAATTTGTCAAGTGAGCCATCTATTGTTCATGAGGCCATGATTGAGATATGGAATCCAGTTTCAACATCATCTCACTCATGGACATCTGGTTTTGTAAGTGCCCAAAAGATTCAAAATTCTCTTTGGAAATATTAAATCTATGAAGCTTGCTAGGAGCTTTGGCATGTCAGGGGCATATCTGACTGAGAAAACCTCATGTCTTATTCTTTCCATAAAAACCAAAACCAAAATGTTCTAAGGTGCTCCATGATAATGCAATGATTGTTAGGCCTTAATCTATATAGACATTTAAAAAAGGACAAATACCACAAATGCATTTCTTTAGGATTGAAGAAACTGCCCAGAGGTCTAAAGTGCATTCCATGTAAATGATTTGTGTCAATCGAATTGCTAGAGTACAACAGTTTAACAATATTGATTTTCACCTTACTGTGGCAGATATTTAGAGGCTAGATTCTAAACGAGGCATCAAATACCACGTTGTGAATGAAGCTTAATGTCTGGGCTCTGTCAAAAATTTTGTTATGGAAACTATCTCGTTTCATAGAGATCACTTTGGCTAAAAAAGGGAGATTCATTTTAAATTTTTTGTAGATTCCATTGATCTACGTTTGGATACAATATCAAGCTTAAAGCCAACAATTCATACGAATAAAAAACTAAGAAAAATACAGAACCATAAAAAGAATCAAGAAATTGTTAGGTAATATGGAATTACAACATATATTAGTATTTAAACCAAAACTTGACCAGAACCTTAAAACCGTAACAGGAAAATATTAATAGAAACTGAAACATCCATGTTTGGTGGAAAAAATAAAAAGATGTGTTTTATGTACACTAAAATATCCTCAAAACATAAGGTAGCTTAACAAAAGTCTGATCTGAACTGTTGGGATAACAAAAATAAAACAAGACAGACAAAATGATAGAGAGAAATAAACCAACCGACAAACAAGAATCTAGAGTGTGAAGAAGAGAGAGGCTTGATGGGCAGCTCTGCAGCAGATTCACAGTTAGCCACAGCTATAGGTCACAGTTGAGATTTCAATCTGCAGCATTTTAGTTCCAGCCTGCAGACAGCCACACAAACCTTTTTGGATCAAAACAATAAAACAACCGGAGAGAGAAAAAAAAAAACATAAAAAAAACATAAGAAAAAAGGACAATTTTCAAAGTTCTGATGGCATAGCTCAGAGGAAGCTGTCACTGGAGCGACCTTACTTTGTTCCACGGTGGCATGGCATAAAAAACAGGGGGTTATTATAGGGTTCAGCAGGCCCACACAACTTCAACAGCGCAACAGTTTTTCAGACAGCTTTACCCACAGCTAACACTGCTTCCACACAAAGATGACCTGAGCCGCGCAGAGCTGCACTCTGATTTTCTCACCCGCGCTGTCCCGAGCAGGCGGGCATTTTTTAGCGGGATGGGGGGAGGGGGCAGAAAGTTGCCCGGCTCAGATCAACAGCGTGAATCACACAGAAAAATAGTACCTAGCCATCACTTACATTCTCACAGCAAAGTGCAGGTGAAGCTTCATCCCTTGAGCTTACTATACATCTACAATCACAGCTTACTAGAAAACCCAGGGGCATACAGGTCCCCTGGTGATTGCCAAATCCATTTTAAGGCCTTTCTCGGCATCAACATGCCTGTATCACTACAACTCATTAAACAGTCAGATCGTCTGAAAGTGACATGTTTGATTAAGAGTAACGCAGCAAAATGCCATCAAACCCTCTCTCCTTGTGCTCTCTCAGTGATGGCAAATGTTCACCACTAAAAGGTCAACATATAAAACAAAACAAACATAGCACTCCATAGACTCTTCATTAGAGTCATTCTTCCTATTAAATCCCTGTAAGCCCTCATCTTAATAAAGGGATTTGTTGTGATTGACCTACATTTTAAGGGGGTGCACACACTCACTCAGCTCACGGAGCAACAAAATTGTTGCAAAATGTTATATGGCTGTTACCAATTAAGACTTAAACATTTGAGATGACAATGTTGCATTCTATGCATTAAGTACCATCAGTAAGTAAGTATCCACGGTGATAGGGTCGTCACCAAACATCCGAACATGTCTAAAATCTAATGCAAGCTAGCATCATCATCTTTATAGCATCAGAAGACTTTGTCTAGGGAAATAACCTCTTACTTTTTAAAAGTTTAATGACGCAAGATTATGTTCTGACACAGAACAATAAATTAATTTCACAATCACATCTTATCTCTCCTTTGACACAAATGCATACACCTCAATAAACCATGTCTCTGTACCAATTCCACGATAAATTTGAAACAAAACAACAAAAACACTCACACCAGCTCTTATTAAACTGATCCACATATGTTCAACTTCTGACTGCTGGGTAAAGCTGTCTGTCAGCCAATGAGGAAACTGGGCACTGAGGAAGGTAATGGTTCTGTTGGGAGGTGGGAAGAGGTCTATTTGTGTAAAGATTTCACATAATAACCAATCCAATGTGTCAAAGTAAAACAACTCCTGAAACTGTTATAAATATCCCCCAACCACCCATATCAGAGTCCCCTAAATATCCTGTGAACCACTGGGGGCAGAAGGCGCTGGTGTGACAACAGTTGATCACTACATGCCATCGTAGGTGAAGTTCTCCATCTTGACTGTCTGTCTGATGAGCAGCTTGGACTCCCGCCGCTCCTCGTTCTTGATGGACTTGTTGATGTCCATTATCTTTTCACAAATGTATTTGTTCACTTTGGATAATCTCTGCGTAATCTCTGCACTGTCGGCTGTCTCTTGAGACACTCTGTCGTACAGACACTCTGGGGAAGGAGTTTGTGTTAGCAGTCAGAATACAATGAATTAAAAATTGCTGATCTTATCTTTATCTGGTGCCTAATGAATATAATTCAATGACTGAAAGGATATGAGCAAAGAAAATCACTTGTTCTGCACCTGATTACACGAGGTCCTTCAGAACAAGGATTCATCTCTGTCATAATTTTGATTTTATGGTCTTAAACCTCAGAACCTTACCTCTGACGATTTTCAGCTTGCTGGGTGACAGTGGAGGTTTGGGCAGAGCATCTTTCTTCTTTTTGGTGGCCACTCCTGTGACACTGCGGTTTTTGAGGGTTTCTGTGCCCCAGATCATTACAGCCAAGTTCTTTGTGAACTTGGAGTCTCCCTGGGTCCGCTGGAGCTGGTGCCATTTCTCCTCTTCAACCCAAATTCCACCACCAAGGTGTACCTGTGGAGAGGAAAGTTCACCAACGTAAAGACTGCATTTCAGAATTAAAATCTACATCTATTTATCCAGTGTTGCCATCTGCATAGTGTCAGAAATATGTAAAAGTCTATTGCATTGCAGCTATGATTACTTCAATTAAAAAACTAACATGCTGATACCTTTATGTAGACAATGCACTACTCTATGTGGGGCAGTCTTATTTCCAATTTCTTATTTGCTCGTGCTGAATTCCCAACCATGATTACCCACTGATGATCTGTCTGTCCCATTAGTGGAGGAAAATAGGACACCAACCTTTTCGAGCCAAAGATCACTTTTTGATTCCAAACCAGAGCTGAGATCTACCACCCATGATATTTTCCAAAAAAAACACACTGTCTATGTCACAAACGTATGTTTCCAACCACACTTCCTGAACCCGTTTCAAAGTAAAAGCACTCCAGCATTTCACTTTTTGAATCCATTCATTTGTTCATTAATTTCTTTTTATAAACAGTCTATGCTTGGTTCTAACATGGCGTTGATTGTTATCACAAGACCGGAAGATGCAGTTCTTAATACCGAGGTGTTCTCACATTTAGTTTAGTACTTGTAATGAAGGAAATGCAGTAGATAAACCAGCAGCTCTGCCACCAATAGCGGACACGTAGCAACCGCAGCCAGTGAGTCCAGAGCGTGGATCAAGAATGAAGACTGTCAACATTGAGCAGTCGATCGTGATGGAAGGGTTGGCGACCACTGATCTAAATGAACAAGCAAGATAATATAGTCATGGAAAACCACATCTGAACCAGCTCCCACTTAGAACAAATTACAAATCCCAAACGGCACTACTTTCACCAACTTAGAGACCCCACGACGCATGTAGCCTGGATTACCAGGACAGTGACCTCTGCTTGTAGCTCTCTACACACTGTCACCGCATGTTGCATAAGCATGCACCAAACACTCCGAGCCGATTGCCAGCCTAGGCAGACTGCCCTGGTCTTCTAGGTGAGCTAATGCAGCAGGGAGCATATGTGACTCCCTTTCCCTTTTCTGCTCTCTTATCACTGTAAAGTCTTTAGGCTAGCATCCAAAAGGCTTTTCCCTGTGCAGCTAATGTGCTTTAGGCCCCAGGCCAGCAGACAAGCTTTTTACTGCCCTCAAGTTAGACAAGATTGTTTTCATCCTCCCTCCCCGTTGCTCTCGTTTATCTCTCTCCTCATCCTTCTCTATCTTCTGTCCCCTCTCACGCTCTCACTAGGGCTAACCTGTCAGTCACTTTAAATTCCTCTCTTGCAAATAATTAATATGGGGTCCCTGATGTAGGAGAGTTCTAATTTGCAAGTGTTCTTCACGCTTGAAGTGGCTGCAGGCCACAGAGCTTGTAGTACCAATTCCCCCCCTGTCATCAGAAACAGGACGCTGGTTGAATTACAGCGGTGGGGGGAGTAAAGAACCCTAACAGGCTAATAAACACTGATGATGCTGGCTGGGCTTGCAGGAACAATAATAATCTTCTCAACCTTGTTTACCTGCTAGGGTAGGGCAGCCAGGGGGTAAGAACTGATCAGCTATGACGGCATGTTCCCAGGTTCACCGGTGTAAAGGAAATTATGCATTTCCTACAAAATCAGACTAGTTCCCACGGTCACCCACCAGAAGACAGACAGATTTACAGAGAGAGGGAACTGAAGGGTTTAGGACTATTAAAGGGACACAGGTGTTATCGAGGTTATCCCCAAGTGCAGCTTAAAAGGCCCAAAGTGTAATGTCATTTTAGACTATATAAATTACACTTACATTGAAATATATAACTGAAGAGGTGGATGTATAAGAATTTGCTGTGTTCCTTTAAATTATTGAAATTGAAGGCCTGCTTTACTGTGGACTGATGACAGAACATCACGCTTTTAACAGCATCAGAAAACATCTGATTCATTTGTTATCTGTTGGATTATGTTTAAGGCCTGTCACTCAATAAATGAGTGATGGCATCTTTCATCTTTATCCTTGTGTTTACATTTGGAAGAATGATTTTGCCAATCAGAAAAAAACAATGAATGTGATGAGAACAGACGGGAACATGAGAGGGACCATGTGGAGGGTTTGGTAGCAGATAAGCAGGGATGTGATCTGATGAGTAAAAACAAAACAAAACAGTTGAAAAGGTGGTAATCACATGCCAGCTGGAGGGGGATCATGGAAATCCATGTGTCCTTTAGTGTAGTGAGACTTACCTTTCCATCATTGCAGGTGTATACTGTTCTAGGTGAGGGTGAGTAGCTGGAACTGGTGTTGGCTTCTTCTCTGCATGTCTCTTGGGTGTCAACAATGGGCTCAACCACTTCAGCCTTGATTGTCTGAGTGCCATTGTCATGCATAGGCTCTGAAAACAGGATTAGATGACCTTTATTAGTCTGACAAGGGGAGATATAAAAGAGACATTTAACATTACGGAGATACAAGTAACAAGTCCACAGCTGTCAACCCTTGTTGAGTTTGAGTTGAGTTGAGGTCAAACATCAACTTTTGTCAACACTAAAACAATACAGAGAACATTAACATTGGACAATGTGTTAGCTGTAAACAATTTGTTGCACCTTAATCTTGCACTAACTGTCTTTAGATCTTTAACACTGGAACAGTGCCCACCAGCTTGTTTGCCTGCTTCCCAGGCGTTTTTTTTAGCCCAGTAACTAAGCTGGCTTGGTGGCTGGCCACGCTAAGCTCCATCGTAGCCGACGAGTTTTAATATCGGTCAGAGGACTCCATCCCCAGCCTGACAGCACCCTGGAGTGCTTTAATCTTTAGCCTGTCCATTAGATTGTCTAGCCAGTAGCCAGGTGCCTCTGTCCAGATCTACAGTGGGGCTGCTGTTAACACCAGCATCTGGCAAAGGTTGAGTTTCTGTACTGCAGGCTGCAGTGACACCTCTTTTAATCACACTTTGGTCAATCTGATTCAACTTCCTGTGTAGGATTTAATCTTAGTGTTGTTTTGTTGGTGGTTTCTTAATTTTCATTCTCACATCTACAGATTTAAATGCACCCTCAGCTACAAGGTATGCAAGGTCTCTAAATTCCATCTACATTCAATTCATAAAGGTTTCTTCTTTTTTCTATCTGAAGAGTTCCTCGATTAAGAAACAGTTGCTGTTATGGACCTGTTGAGACATTGTATGTGACACTGGGCTGTACAATAGAGTGAATCTAAGGTGCAGGTTGTACAACAGCAAATTGATCTACTCTTCACAACAGTCACACTGCTACATGCGATCTTTAAAATTCATATAGTGCTGAAAGGACTGCTGAGGACTCAACCACCATCCTGTTTAAGGTTCATCCTCCCACCTAACATGAAAATTTAGCACTAAGTTGAGCATTTAGTTGCACTTAAAACTATAAATACATCTACATTTTCCAAGGACAAAAAATACATTAAAACTTGGAGCTTGAGCCAAAACAGACAATAAATTCTCAAAAGAATATATATATTTGGACCATCTAGAAGATGATGAAGATTGTGTGATAGAAGATCCCCAGCTGCATCGTGTAAGACAAACAGTTAGTACTCTGACTGTGTGCACTTTGACCCATGTCCTCTTGCAGTAACTGTCCACTCCGGGATATCACAGTCCAAGACAGACTGGTGTAAGAATAAATGTTCTGTGCATTTGGATTGCAGTTTCCCATCTACATAATTATACCAACTTGCTGTACATACCCAGTGGTGAGAGTCTGACTGATTGAGACACTTTCTCAAAGTGACTGAGTGGATTAAAGGTTACTGTTAAACTGTGACACCAGTGGTTTGTATGTTGGTGTGCATGGTCTTGGTCTCTCACCGCTGCCCAATCTCATAAGAAGTACGTCTTGCAGCCTCCTGTTGAAGTCCCTCAGTTCTTTGACCTCTGTCAGCAAGCTGCCATATTCCTTCAGCTTCTTGGCCTGCTGTACGAGCTGTCTGCGGGTTCTCTCCAGCTCCTGCTGCAGCCTCCTCATCTCCTCCTCCTGTTGCCTGTAGCTGTGAACCAGCTCTTCATACAAGACTCTAGGAACCACAGCTGCAGCTACCTCTGACACACAATCTGTATCCACCTCCAAATGCTGCTGTTGCTGCTGCTGCTGCTGGTGATGATGTTGCTGATGTTCTGCCTCCATATCTTCATCTTCATCTTCTGCATCCTCTACCTCCTCAGCAAGCCGGTCCTCATCCAGGTCCTCTTCACCCTCCATACAGGAGCTGGCTGCATTTCTCTCAAGGCGAGCCACTACTGCTGCAAGGCTCTTGGATGAGTTAGACAGCGGGCGTCCATGGTCCTGAGACAGGGCCTAAGGAAAATAACAAATGTCAATATAGGCAGTGGACAGGCTGGTGATATTATGTTTGAACTGTGATAACTAGAAAGTTCAAAATATGAACATAACAAAAATTTGCCAGGAGGAGGTAGGGGGGTTAGAATAGATTAGAATATCTGACTGAATATGACTCCATCTTAAACTTTGAAGACAGAACAGATGACGTGACAGATAAAGATGACGTGACTGACTGCAAACAGCTTGTTTTGACTGTGTGGATCTCAATAGGAACTGGGAGGAGAGGAGTCACAGAGTTCTTTGATGAGCCGCTCAGAGGATTTGTCTGTGAAAGGGCAGCTGTCCAGAGTGCTGAATTTGTGTTAATCCAGCATATGGTAAAAATAGCGAAGGGGATTTTGGGTGTCATCCAAGTTTATGGAAATGTGACATTGTGACATGTGTCAATAACAGAAATGTTTAAATAGAAGACTACTGTCTGTGTGTACATCAGCGAGTGAGATACAGTCACACAGTGTTGCGATTAGATATTTTCAATGACCAAATTTGAGGGTCCTCACTGACATTATAAAAGAATGTTAATGTAAGTAATCTAAGTGGGATACTTTATTATAATATAGTATTTAAAGTAACTTTGCATCCACACATACAGAACAAAAGGGTCTAACTTTAATTACATTTTAAAGAATCATATAAATGTTTTTAAAGAAAAAAAAGAAAGATACAACTAGTGGTTTATTTTAGGGCTCCTACCTTTTTATGCCTGAGTGGCAACCTCTCTTCTCCAAAATTGTTCTCAATAGAGTTTCCTGAATTCTCGATGGACATCTTGGGAATTTTCATCTTCTTTTGCATTATACTGTCTTCAAATTCCTCTACTGTATCTGTAAAGTGCAGAAATAGAAGTAAAGAGAAACTCATGAAGTTTCCAAAAAGTTAGATGGATTTTAACAAAACGTGACCGCACTCTTTCATCCATTTGTCCTACTCGGGCCGAGGACGTTTATTCTCTCCATTCATTAAACTAACATCAGCCTTCTTCGTTAAATAAAATGAAAGCCTGACAGAGACATGAGCTACAGTTCGTCCTGATCATTCCGCGCTTGAACATGAACCGAGGCTGTGAGGGTGTCAGGCAGGTCGGACGGATCCTGCAGCCCAGACAGCTCAGATTCGGGGATTAGTGATGTAGCTTGTTAAAGATCGAGCATTGAAAACGTCAGTGGGCAAACCAGCGGCTAACGTCAAGCAAATCATTTTCACTTGAAGGCATCAGCACTTCGACATGACGCACTGTCATGAACAGACATGACGCTGACATGTTACCTATATGTTGTGTGCACGGATGTGTCCTCGACGCGGCGATGACTGCAGCGCTGCATCCACTCTGTGGCTCAGACCGAAAGATAAGCCCAGCCAAGCTAACCGGCTAACCGCAAACCCACCGCAGCCCCTGGCTGACGTCTCCAGCACATTGACCAAATCTGTGCAGAAATGTCAGTGGATCATCCGCGGACTGTCAGATGTGTTTAACATGTAGCGACATCTCTGCGTGTGCACGCAGTTAACGAGCGCGTCAACGCTAACATGCTAACGCGGAACAAATACACACGGAGCTAGCAGGCAGCTAGCTTCATGTTGTAAACAACCGATGTGACTGGCTAATGTTGCATGCCACGTATTTAGCGAAACAACCAGCACTACCCAGTAGAAACGAAAGCGCTAACTCAGGCAACGCGACACAGTGAGTGTAAAAAAATCTGCAACGCGCAGACGACGAGGTATGACTACCTACCAAACTTATCTTAGCATCTACCTAGCATACCCAGCTAGCCACAGCCGAGGACGTTGTGGCTATCAGTGTCAGACTCCAGCTGATCACGTCCTGACAGATCGGACAAAAGGAGCCGCTTCGACACATGTCCGAGCTCCGTGCACGTCCGCGTCCCAGGGTCAGACAGTGAGAGGCAGCGATGAGGACGAGGAAATGTGACGTGTCGGGAGGACAACTCACCTGCAAGGGCAAGGATCTGAGCTTCGCACGGCTGGCCTGCGCTGCCATTCTCTTCAGTTCTGTGAACCAGATACACCTTCTGATTATCAAAATCTGTTCTGTGCAGAGGTCTGAAATCTTCCACATTTGAAACGGGCAACGCGTAGCACATATCGTCTTCAAAGAATCGAACAAAAGCATACATTATTTACTTCTCTTTGGTCCTGCACTTTGGATATGGTTGACAGTTTTTTTTTCTCACAAAGTATTAAAAAAATATATACACATGGGG